CCTATTTCTGCGGCCCTGGGGCCGGGGCGCGGGCTCCGGCGGCCAGGCACCGTCCAGCGCCTGGCCACCACGACGTGCTTCGCGTCGCCTGGATCCCAGGCCCCCGGACATCAGGACTTGCTCATGACGTCGACCCCCAGAGCGAAGGGGCCCTGGGACACACAAATAAGTACACACAAATAAAAGGATTCCCCATAGTTTCTCATATTTTCTGGGTTTTCGTCTTCCCCACCACTTCCCATATTTTCCCATATTTTCCTGGGGATCGACGATTAATTGTGTCTGTGTGTATTTTCCCCTCCTGACAGAGGTCTCCCGTTCCCCAGGGCCCGCTTCTCGTCCGGAGGCGGCTTCGCCTGTCCCCCTGGGCCTGGCGAGGGCCCCCCCCGGCGCCGAAGACACCGCGGCGCCTCCCGTCGGGATGTCTTTCATGACTCGAGGGGGGGGGTATGGGATCGCGAGGGGAAGGGAGGAGGAGGTGGTGGGAGGAACGTGGCCCCCACTGCTCCACACTTGCCCCGCTGACGGACCACCCTAATCGAGGCCCGGCCGGCCCTGTTTTAGGGGATGCAGTGCAGCAGTACTGCCCGCTCCTGCCCCGAGCGCTGGCCACATGAGTCCTATTCTTGGCGCGGTGCGTCTTAGGGCACCTTCGGACAATCCCTAGACCGCCGTCCTCGAACTCGTCTCCTCCCTCGTGCCTTCCCCATACTTCCCCTCCCCAGTATCCCCCTTCCTCCCTCCTCCTCTCCTTGTTCTGCTTGCCATTCCGCATCCTCCTCTCCTCATCCCCTCCAGAACATCCCCCTCCTCCTACTCCTCCACCTGCTCTAGCTCCCACTTCTCCTCTTCCTCATTCCTCCCTCTTCCTCCTCCTTGCCTCCTCCTCACCCCCCATCCTCCCCAACCTCCTCCGTCCTTCCTCTTCCCCCTCCCCATCCACCCTCCATTTCTCCTCCTCTCCCCGCTGGAGGGAGCGAGGGAAGAGACGCCCGATCCTGCGTGATGGAGAACGCGGCCAGGCGCGCGGAGAAGAAAGACGCCTGGCGGCGACGGAGGGGGCAGGACGAGGAACGGGATGAAGAGGGGGTGGGGGAGGGAGGACCAGAATAAGCCCAAGGCGCATCAGCGATGCTGCAATGCACCCTCTCGCCCCCGAGCCTCCTCCTGCTCCTCATAAGTCCCTGCAGGTACTCCTGCCAGAAGCACGTCCCCCTTGACAGACAAACGCCGCGCCAGCCTGCCATATCAGGCGAGACCACGTTATGCAAAAGATCTACCTTCCATCCGTCTGGATGCCAAACGTAGGGCCACAATGAGAAAGGACATATCCAGCGAGAGCTCCGTGTTGAAAACTATGTGTCCTCCGCCCGTGTAGGTGCCGCACAACGTCAATACTTTTGCCATCTACTCCAAAGGCACATCCGGCGACACCTGCCGTGTAAATGTTGCACAACGCGAACCTCGGGCCAGAAACAAGTTTGCCAGTGTTCACTCCAAACGATGGGCGCTTGCACCCGATGAGTGTGAGCCATGCGGTGCGAGCTACATGCTGGAAGCTAGAGTGCGCCAGACATGTGGTGGATTCTACCTGCTGCCAGCTATGCGGCGTAAGGCATGTAGTATATTGTGTGAGGTGCGAGCTATGATGAGCCCGTTTTCCACCACCACCATAAGTTGGAGGGGGGAAGGAGGAGGAGGAGGAGGAGGAGGGCGAGGAGGAGGAGAACGAAGAGGAGCAGGAGCAGGAGGAGGAGGAGGAGGAGGAGGAGGAGAAGGAGAGAGAGGAGGAGAGGAGGAGAGGGGGGGGAGGAGGAGGAGGGGAGGAGGAGGAGGAGGAGGAGGAGGAGGAGGAGGAGGAGGAGGAGAAGGAGGAGGAGGAGGAGGAGGAGGAGGAGGAGGAGGAGGAGGAGAGGGAGGAGGAGGAGGAGGAGCGGAGGAGGAGGAGGAGGAGGAGGAGGAGGAGGAGGAGGTGGAGGAGGAGGGGGAGGATCCCCCCCCCCCTCCAACTCGTGGTGGTGGTGGCGGAAGACACGCCCATCGAGCTGCGTGACATCGGCTACGCGGCACAGGCCACGCGGGACAGAGCACGCGGCGTGCGCCGCGCGGCGCCCCCGAGGCGCCCGGGTGCCCCCCCGACGAGCAGAACCCTCGCCGCGGCCGCACGGGCCGCCCCCGAGGCGCCCCGTGGCCGCCCGCCGAGCAGAACCCTCGCCGCGGCCGCCCGGCGCGCGGGGCGCCCACGAGGCGCCCCGCGGCCGCCTTCCGCGAGCGAGGCCTCGCCACACCCGCCCGCACGCGCGGGTCGGCTGCACGCAGGAGTGACCCTGGGCAAGAGTGACCTATGGTGCGCGACTTTTTGGGGGCCGCGGGGACCCCAACCTGGGCTCGCAAGCGGCTGCTGCTGCCTCGCTTTGAGCCGTCTGGGGACCCATCTGTGCCCGCACCAAAGGTCACTCCGGCGAAAGGTCACTCTTACGTCTAGTCGAACGGGGCGCTGACGAGGCGCCCACGGCTGCCCACCGGGCGAGGCCTCGCCACACCCGCCCAGCCCATCCTTCGAGCTAGCGGGCAGCCCCTGACTGCAGACGCTGCCGGGGAAGTCGCAGCTGTGAGGCTGGGAGCCGCGCTCTGCAGCGGGACCGCCCTTCACCCGTGAGACTGCTGGACCTCTGAAGACGAGAGCGTGCGCCGCGCAAAATGTTTCACGCCAGCCGCTCCCCGCCCGTGTGAATGCCTGGACGTTCGAAGCCGCACGCGCGGGGCTTCCAGACGCATGCCGCCGCACGTTGACAGCCCGTGGTCCAGCTGTCGCATCTGTCGAGATTGGATATGATGACCTGTGGGAGGGCTTCAGGCGAGACGCCTCGTGGTGATGCGAGAGGGAGGAGTAATCTGTATATGAATATGTACCTACATATTCATATATATATATATATATATATATATATAAGGAAGAGGGATGCCGTGGGGAAATAGGAGGGAGGCGGGGGGAGTTTAACTTGCATTTTGACCTGCACGTGGAGAATGAAGGGAGGGGGAATGGACATGCATCCCGATAGCAATAGCAGCAGCAACACCGCAGCTACCAGCAGTATAACTTGCAACGGGGGGGGCGGGGGGAAGAGGGGCAGACGGGAGAGGAGGAGAAGGGAGGTGAACCCCAAGAACGCCACGGATGAACGCCCCCAACGCCATAGACCCCCAGACCACCCAACATGCCCCTTATAACGCCACATAACATTCCCCAGAGCCACCTAGAACTCACCCACCCTCATGCAAACTTCTCCCACTGCTTTCCTCCTCATCCTACTCCCGTACATGGACATTCTATTCGAACCCTGTGGCCCAAGATGCCCCCCCGACCTCCCGAAATTAATATTGATGGCGTGGCGACGGGGGGGGCGTGAGTGGACAGAAATATTCGAACGCCAAACCACTGCCTTTACTGAGATCAACATTGATGTCGGGGGCGCGGGGGTGATTTAGAATCTCCCTCGAATGTGTGAGGGTTCGAATATATGAGAGAGCGTGATCCACCGCCGCTTTACTGTGGAAAATTGCCAGCTTTTTCCTCCCGAACCCCGGGGTCGCCCCCCCCCCTCCGAAATCCCCCCCCCCCTGCTGGAACCCCGCCCCCTCCCCCCCCCCCCTCCCCCCCCTCCGGCAAACCCCCCCCCTCCCCTAACCACTCCCCCCCCCCATCCTCTCGAAAACCGGGGGGGGTCACTACCGGATCGAACCCCCCCCCCCTCCGGATCTGGAAAACCGGGGGGGGCACTACCGGTTCGAACCCCTCCCCCCCCCCCTCCGGATCTGGAAAACCGGGGGGGGTCACTACTGGTTCGAACCCCCCCCCCCTCGAAAACCGGAGGGGGTCACTACCGGTTCGACCCCCCTCCCCACACCCACCGCCAGCAAACGACTCCCGGTCCCTACCACCGTCCGCATCACATCCCCCACTGTTGTTCCCAGCACCACTGTCCTCACCACCACTGTCCCCACTGGTTCCACCACCGTCCCCACTGTCCCCACCAGTGCCCCCACCACTGTCGCACTGTCCCCACTGTTCCCACCACTGTTCCCACCACGGTTCCACTCTCCCCACTGTCTCCACGGACCCAACCACTGCCCGACTATCCCCACTGTCCCCACCGTCCCACTGACTCCTCCGCTGTCCCACTGAGCTGTCCCACTGTTCCCACCACTGTCCCCACCACTGTCCCCGCTGTCCCCACCTCTGTCCCATTATCCCACCGCCGTCCTCGCCACCGCCTTCACCACTGTCCCCACCACCATTGTACCCTCCACTGTCCCACTGTTTCCACCTCATTCCCACTGTCCCCACCACCACCGTCCCCACCACTGTCCACTGTCCCCCCCGTTCCCACCATTGTCCCCACCACTGTCCCCACCACTACCGTCCCCACCACTGTCCCACTGTCCCACTGTCCCCACCACTGTCCCGCTGTCCCCTCGCCACTGTCCCCACCAACACCGTCCCCACCACTGTCCGCACCCCCACTCGGTTTTTCGAGGGGGGGGGGGAGGGGGTTCGAACCGGTAGTGACCCCCCCCGGTTTTCGAAGGGGGGGGGGGTTCGAACCGGTAGTGACCCCCCCCCTTTTCATGATGAGCCGGGGGGGGGGGGGAGGGGTTCGAACCGGTAGTGACCCCCCCCCGGTTTTCCAAAGGGGGAGGGGGAGGGCTTCGAACCGGTAGTGACCCCACCCGGTTTTCCGCCAACAGCGGTAGAACACGCTCTTTCGAATATATTGTCCATCTACTGTCCATGGCAAGGTTTGCGTAGTGCGGCACATTGCTCAAAGCGACCCCTCATAAATCCAAGATCCCATGACTTGGGGGAGAAGGTGAAGGAGGAAGCGAAGGATGAGGAGGATAAGGATCAGGATGAGGAGGAAGAGGAGGATGGGGATGAGGATGAGGATGCGGAGGACTAGGAACAGTAGTGGGAGACAGGAAGAATGAGAAGGGTGAGGATGGGAGGTGGTGGGGAGGAGGATCAAGCGGTGGAGCGTGGAGGATTTCGAAGCAGGTGCGGGAGGAGTGAATCAGAGGAGGCAGGGACGAGGAGGCGATGGGAGGGGAAGAGAGGGCATGGGGAGGAGGGGAGGGGAGGGGAAGGGAACGGGGAGGGGAGGGGGGAGGGGATCGGAGGGGGCCGAAAAAGGGATGGAAGGAGACGGTCCTGTGAAGGGCTGCCTTGGGCCGTCCTGGAGGCCTCGGAGGCCCAATGGATCCCCGGAGCTGCGGGAAGTTCGATTTTGCCTGCCCAGGGTTACATGTTGCTGTCGTCCTACCGTCCACAACAGACATTGGGTGCATTATCGAAAGCTGGAGACGGTTCTGTGGAGGGCTGCCTTGAGCCATCCTGAGGCCTCGGAGGCCCCATCGTTCCCCAGGCTGCGAACGGGTCGGTTTATTCAAACCCAGGGTGATATAGTCAGCGCATGCACATGATTACAATTTATTTGCATATGGTGTTCACTCGTTCGCCGTCCTTGGGTCCTGGGTTACCACGCTTCCTTCATCGTCGCTATGGCAGCTGGATAGGCGCTTGCTCGTGATATTGATGGGGGCGTTGTCTGGTAGGCTTTCAGGAAAGCAGCTGGCGAGGCAGCCAACAAGGCAGCCAACGAGGCAGCCTACGAGGCACCCAGCGAGGCGGCCAACGAGGCCTCCGACGAGGCAGCCCGCGGGGCAGCCAAAAAAACAGCCGTCGAGGCAACTGGCGAAGCAGCCAGCGAGGCGGCCAACGAGGTAGCCGACGAGGCACGAGGCAGCCAACGAGGTAGCCCACGAGGCAGCCAGCCATGCAGCGAGGCGGTCGACAGGGCAGCCAGGAAGGCAACCAACGAGGCCACCGACACAGCACCCGGCAAGGCAACCAACGAGGCAGCCAACGAGACAACCAACGAGGCAGCCAACGAGACAGCCAACAAACCAGCCAACGAGGCAGCCATCGAGGCAGCCAGCAAGGCAGCCAACAGGCAGCCGAGCAGGCAGGCCACCAGGAACCAGGCGACCAACGATACAGCCACAGGGCAGCCGACGAAACAGCAGCGAGGGAGGATCCCAAAATGGATCCCCCTTGCGCACCTGCGCGCGCATGTCGCGCAGATCTTGGCCATTTTCACGGACAGAAGCCACCCGAACCTATGTCGCTACGGATGGAAAAAAGGGCATCCGAGATATAGGATGCCCTCGCTCACTGGACTGCATCCATTTTCAGGATGCCCCCGTTGGAAGGATGACCGCAGCGCTTTCTGGACCGAGCGCATTTGGCCCGTTGTTGTCTCCACAGCCAGAGAATGTCGCCGAAATCCTTCGCCCATGTATCTGCCGAAGAGCACGTCGCAATGCGCCGCTTGCATGACGGCGGCATGGGCGTCAAGAGGATCGCCGCGGCCTTGAGCCGCTCCACGGACACCGTCTCGAAGCATTTGTTCAAAAAGAACGCAACCAAGAAGTCCAAGGGCCGCCCGAAGCATTCCATCCGCACCCCCAAAGGGTTTCTCGCTGCCCAGCGCGCTTACAAGAGGCTTCTCAAGTCCTCGGGCGGCACAAAGGAAGTGACGGCAGCCATGCTGAAGTCCGAGATGAAGTTGAAATGCGACATCAAGACAGTGCGCCGCGCGTTTGAGGAGAATGGCTATGAGTTCCGCCCGCTGTGCGAGAAGCCTGACCTTTCGGACGGGGGCAAGAAGGAACGCCTTGGGCCCGCGAGCACAAGCACCAGAGCCCCAGTCAGTGGCCACAGTACGTCCACGCGTGCATGGACAACAAGGCGTTCCAGGTGCTGCCCAATGCGAAGTGCAGGAAGGTGGCGGCAAAGCGCAAGGCTCGCGGGGTGTACAGGAAGCGCAAGCGGGACCTCTCCGTGGGCCACGTCAAGCCGAGCAACCCCAAGGTTCTCGGGCCGGCGCAAGTCGGAGACCGCGCCGAGGCCACTCACGCCAGGCCAGTGGCCGACGGCGCGCTCTGATTTGGCTTGCCCCCAGGTTCTGAAGCAGAGTTCGGGCAAGGGCTCCGTGACCATCGCGTGCGCCATCGGCGCGCGCAAGGTGTTGATGTGGCACCAGGTGGTCGGCAGTTGGAACGTCGCAGCCGCGGAGCGAATGTGCTCGGGGGCGCCCCAGCCCGCTTTGGAGAGGGCCTGCCCTTCCGTGCGCGGCAAGTTCCGCGCCATGGAAGACAACGACCCCACGGGCTACAAATCTCGCTCGGGCATGGCGGCGAAGAAGTCCGCTGGCATCCAGACGTTGGACTTGCCGAAGCGGCCCCCTGATCTGATGCCGCTTGATTTCGCCTTCTGGGCCAATCTGAACAAGCGCATGGGGGGGCAGGAGAAAGACTGGCCCGCGAGCAAGACGGAGACGCGGGCGCAGTACCTGGCCCGGCTGCGCCGCGCGGCGTTGGCGACGCCTTCTGAGTACATCCGCAGCATCATGGGCAGCCTGCACAAGCGCTGCGGCTTGTTGGTCGAGGCGAAGGGCGGCCGCTTCGCCGAGGGCGGCGGGGACTGAGCGCGCGCGCGGTTCCCTCGGGCGGCCGCGGCGCGATTCGCGGCGGGCCAGGGCGGCGGGCGAACGCGGCGCAGACCGCAGCGATCCGGGGCGGCGGGCGGCCCGTAGCGGCCCGCGCCTCGGTTGACCCGCGCGAGCGACGCGGGGCGCGGGAAGGGAGCCAGTCGCGGTCCACGATCAAGACCAATCCGTGCGTCTACCGCCCCTGCGGCGACAGGACCAGCAGACCTAGTCGAAAGTCGCTGATCTTAGCATTATGATTATGTCCGCCGAGGCCCCTCAGGCGCCAGCGCCCTGGCGACCCCAGATGGCCCCATCGCACGAGACACGCAGCAAACAACATAGTGACCCAACAGTGGACCAAGAGTGAACCAACAGTGAACCAACAGTGAACCTCCGTGAAGACCATAGTGAACCTCGAATTCGATGAAAACAGAATAAGGAACTGCTCTTTTTTTATAGAAATTGAAGCTCAGTCTGTAATCTGCCATGGTTCACTTTTGGTTCACTGATGGTCCACTTGTAGGTTCCGTGTGGTTTTTACGCATGTTTGCACACGTCCAACAATGCCGCGCGAGCGGCATCCATGGACAGGATCCGCCGACCCCGCTCAGAGGTGCAGGGGGTGCGCCAGGCGCGCGAAGTGCGCCGCGTGCGACAGGTGCGTGGCGCGCGACAGGTGGGCCACGCGCGCCAGGTGAACGGGGCGCGCCCAAGTGCGACAGGTGCGCAGACGACGCCAGGTGCAACGAGCCCCCCAACTGAGCAGCCACGCGGTGGTTTACGATGCCCCAGGAAACCCCGACGGTCCGCGTTGCGTTTTTCTCTGTAGCCTATCGGCTCAGCGGGGCGGGGGCTGGCCCTGGCCGGGTCGCGCCCGGGGATGGCGCTCTCGGTGGACAGGCCAGAGAAGCGCCGCAGGCTCGTGGGGAAGCACAGCCAGCAGACGGCGCTCCTCGAGCACGTCGCCGGCGAGGAGAACAGGAACGCCTCGCGGGAGGTCTACTTGGTGACTCTGCCGCACACGGACAAGGAGGGTCTCAAAGCGCCAGCGGCTTTCTCGCGGGAGGAGGTCCGCGACGCTTTCCTGGATTGCTGCGGCGCTCCGGACGCCGACCCCGCGTGGTTCGCCAGCCACCGCGGGCAGGGGGCCGCGCCCGTCGGGGTCAAAAAGCTGGTGGCATTCAAAAAGCACCACGCGCCAGTGGCAGGCGTCCGGCGGGCGCACTACCACGTGGCCTTGCACCTGGGCAAGAAGAGCAAGTTCTTGACCGCGAAGACGGCCTTGCTCAACAGGTACCAACTCGCCTCTCACTGGTCCTGCAGCCACGACGGGCACTGGTCGGCCGTCGGGCACTGCGCGAACGCGACGCCCAAGAAGCCGCGGAGCGCCCTGGACGTTGACTACTTGGCTTGGCCCGCGGACCACCCGCCGCTGTCCGCGGCGAAGAGGGAGCCGACGACCGCCCGCGCTTTGGAGAAGCGCAGGACCGCGCGGGAGCAGGTCGAGGGCGAGAAGGGGAAGCCAGAGCCTCGCGTCGAGGAAGTGGACCTGTGGCCGATAGTGGTCAGGTCTGGGATCCGGAATACTCCGGACGACCCCCACGCAGTGCGCAAGTTGATGGCGTACGCTAAGACGTCCTGCTCGCACAAGGTGGTTGCCTGGATGTTCAAGAACGAGCACGTGCTGGAGAAGATCATCGACAAGGCCTGGGCGTGGGAGAACGTGGGCAACTTCCTCGAAGACGCGACGAAGCCCGTCATGCAACAGTTCAAGGAGGCCTTGCGGACGCCTTGCGTTTGCGGCGGCCGCTGGTTGCACCACGTCCGCGAGAGCCTGTCGATGAATCGCACCGACGTCCCCGACCTCTGCAGCAGTACCTTGATGTCCCTGAAGCACGGTCGGTCCGAGGCGGCCCCGGTGGTCAGCTTGGCTGGGCGCTTCGGCGGAGAGGGGAAGTCTCTTCTCTTCTCGGCGGTGCGGCCGCTGTTCGGCGGTGAGCACGTGTAGGAGAGGCCAGGCGGGGGGCAGTTTTGCCTCCACGGCTTGGACAAGGCCAAGGCCGCGGTGCTGGACGAGAGGATGTTCATCGATGAGGACCTCCCCCTGTCCATCCAGCTCCTGTGGCTGGAGGGCAAGCCTGTGCCCATCACTATGCCCCAGAACCAGCACGTCGGGCACAAGGTGTACATGGGGTCCGCCCCGATGTTTGTCACCTGCCCCGAGACGGCGCTGGCGGGCCTCTCGTTCGAGTCGTCGCAGCGCCCGCAGGGGCAGGCTGGCATGCTGCTCCGGCGGCTGAAACTGTGCTTATTCACTGTGCCGATTCCCAAGCCGCCGGCCCCGAAGCTAGTGCCGTGCCAGCGCTGTTTCTCGACCCTCGTCACAAGCGAGGCTCTTAAATTCAAGCCCAAGTGGTCCTGCCGCGTGCGATTGGGGTCGCTGCGCGCAGACATCATCACCATCATCGCCATCATCACCATCGCCATTATCGTCGTTGCCACACCTCGTTGCCCCATCGGGAACTCCACGGAAGGCCCCGATGGCTGACTCCGCATGCCGCGCCCCGACAATTTCGGCAGACCCCTAGAGCGTTGCACGACCGCCACGGGCACGTCGTGCTTCCGGCCCAATGCGCCGATGGAGCGCCGGGCTTGACTGACTGACTTGGAGCCCCCGTGGATCTTCGTAAGGCCCCCCTGGAGGCCCTCTCGGGCGAGGTCTACGACAGAGGCCCCCCGTTGCATTCCACTCAATTCCATTCACTCCCAACTCCTCCGCAGGCCCCCCACTCCTTCCCAGTCCTCGCCACTCCCCTGTAGTCGTCCGCACCCCACCGCACTCCGCCAACAAAAACTCCGAAACCTCTCATTCCTCCACGCCCCTCCGCACTCTTCCCAACTGCTCCACGCCCTTCCGCACTCCACCCGAAACCTCCGCAACCGCCCCACTCCCCCCCACCCCTCCGGACTCCTCCCGGACCTTCCGCAACCGTCCCATTCCTCCAGACCCCTCCGCAGTCTTCCCAGAACCTCCGCAATCCTGCCATTCTTCTCACCCCTCCGCACTCTTCCCGAACATCCGCAACTCTCCCATTCCTCCACACCCCTCCGCATTCTTCCCAAAACCTCCGCAACTCTCCCATTCCCCCACATCCCTCCGCACTCCTCCCGAAACCTCCGGAGCCCTTCCAATTCTTTCCGCCCCTCCGCACTCCTCCCGAACATCCGCGATCCGTCCTATTCCCCCCCACCCTGCGCACTCCTCCCAAACCTTCCGCAACCGTCCCAGTCCTCCACACCCCTCCGAACTCTTCCCGAAACCTCCGCAATCCTGCCAGTCTCTCCACCCCTCCGCACTTTTCCCGAACATCCGCAACTCTACCATCTCTCCACATCCCTCCGCACTCCTCCCAAAACCTCCGCAACCCTCCCATTCCCCCACATCCCTCCGCACTCCTCCCGAAACCTCCGCAACCCTTTTATCATTCCACATCCCTCCGCACTCCTCCCAGACATCCGCACCTCCCCCATTCCTCCAGGCCCCTCCGCACTCCTCCCGAAACCTCCACAACCGTCCCATTCCTCCACATCCGTCCGCACTCCCCCCGAAACCTCCGGAGCCCTTCCATGTCTCCCCACTCCCCCGCACTCCTCCCGGGACATCCGCACATATCCGCACCTCCCCCATTCCTCCACACCCCTCCGCACTCCTCCCGAAACTTCCGCAACCCTCCCATGCCTTCACATCCCCTCGCACCCCTCCCAAACCTTGTGAAACCGTCCCATTCCTCCCCACTCCTCCGCACACCTCCCGAAAGAGACCTCCGCAACCCTCCCATTCCTCCACGCCCTTCCGCACTCCTCCCGACACCTTCGCAACCCCTTTTATCCTTCCACATCCCTCCGCACTCCTCCCAAACCTTCTGCAACCGTCCCATTCCTCCCCACCCCTTCCGCACTCCTCCCGAAAGAGATGTCCTCCACCCTCCCATTCCTCCCCACCCATCCGCACTCCCCCCGAAACCTCCGCAACCCTCCCAGTCCTCCCCACGCCTCCGCACTCCTTCCACACCCCCCACAACCGTCCCATTTCCCCTCAACCCTCCGCACTCCTCCCAGTCCTCTTGGATTCTCCCAGTCCTCCAGACCCCTCCGCACTCCTCCTGAAACGTCTCACCCCTTGCCCCAGCGTCTTACGCCCAGGAGCGGAACCTCCATCTTCCTCCTATTCCTTCTCCTCGTTCTCCTCCACCCCCTCCTCCCTCCTGTTCCTCATTCCTCATTGAGGGTTGTGGGTGATGATGATGCTGCTGATGATGATGATGATGCTGATACTGATGATGGTGATGATGATGATGCTGCTGATGATGATGCTGCTGCTGCTGATGATGATGATGATGATGATGATGGTGGTGGAGATGATGGTGGAGATGATGCCGCCGATGAGGGCGAGTGTGATTGTAATGATGACGTTTGTTGCATCTGTACGGTCCCCTCCTCTCCCTCCTCCCTACTCCCACCTGCAAAACAAGATGGGGGACCTCCTCATCCTCCCCATGATCATGTTCCGTCCCCTCTTCCTCCTCCCCCTCTTCATCCTCCCCATACTCCTCCATCCTCCACTCCATCATGTCCTTCCTCTCTTCCCTCTCGTTTCTGTGTATCATCCCTAGCTCCTGTCTTCCCCCTCCCTCCCGCCCTTCATCCTCGCCCTCCTTTCCGCCTCTCCTCCTCCTCCTCCTCCGCCGTTGCTCCTCCTCCCCTCTTCCTTGTCCCTATTCCTCCAATTCCATCTTGTCTGATGGACGCACCCACCCCCATGCTCCATCTCCCCTCCCTGTCTCTGACCTGGACCTCTCTCCCCCCCTCGCTCAGTGGGCTGCGCACCCTCTCCTCCCCCTCGCAGTAGCGGCGGCGGCGTCAGTGGCAACGCTGTGCCTTGCGCGAGTCGGGCTCCCAGGCGGTCTCGGTGATGCCTGCGGTGGCCGCACACGGCG